AGGTACTCCTGCTAATTATTCTGATTTAAAGATATTTGGTTGCCCTGCATACATGCATGTAAATGATGGAAAATTAGAGCAAAGGGCTAAAAAGTGCATTTTCCTTGGGTATGCATCTGGGGTGAAAGGATACCGACTATGGTATTCTAATCCCACGACACCAAAATTTATAATTAGCAGAGATGTAACATTTGATGAATCCTCTATGCTACATTCTAGAAAAGAGTCTTTTAGTTCTTGTAATACAGATAAATAAAAGAGTACACAGAACCAGGTGGAGATTGAGATTAGCATTCCTTCTAAGCCAAGTTCATCAACTTTGGAGCACAATACAGTTGAAACTCCTGAAGTTGAGCCAGAAGCTGAAATTTCTGAAGTTGAGACTCCTGAAGTTGAACCAAAAGAAGAGGAGTATTCTATAGCCAAACATAGACCAAAAAGAGAAGGTAAACAACCATTAAGGTTTGGAGATTATGTTGCATTTGCTTTTTCAGTTGCACAGGAAACTGAAGAAATTGAAGAACCATCAAAATATTCAGAAGCAGTTTCTGGTGTTGACTCAGCCAAGTGGCTGATTACAATTAATGAAGAAATTGAGTCACTCTACAAGAATGGTACTTGGTCTCTTGTGAAGCCGGCATTAGGAAAAAGAATTGTTGGTTGCAAATGGGTCTTCAAGAAAAAGGATGGCATTCCAAGGGTTGAAGATGCGAGGTATAAGGCACGATTAGTTGCAAAGAGCTATAGTCAGGTACAAGGAATTGATTTTAATGAAATTTTCTCATCTGTTGTTAAACATAGCTCTATTCGTGTCTTGCTTGCCTTCGTTGCCATGTATGATTTGGAATTAGAACAACTTGATGTTAAGACAACTTTCTTACATGGCGAACTTGAGGAACAAATATACATGCATCAACCCGAAGGATTTGAAATTGAAGGAAAAGAAGATCATGTTTGCTTGTTGAAGAAATCCTTGTACGGATTAAAGCAGTCTCCAAGACAATGGTATAAAAGGTTTGATTCCTCTATGTTGGGGTCATGGTTATTCGAGGAGCATGTATGATAGTTGTGTTTACTTCCGGAAGTTAAATGATGGTTCATTTGTGTACCTATTATTATATGTTGATGACATGCTCATTGCTGCTAAGAATTTAACAGAAATTCACAATTTAAAAGGTCAGCTGAAAAGTGAATTTGAGATGAAAGATTTGGGAGCAACTAAGAAAATCCTTGGCATGGAGATCAATAGAGATCGAAAAGCCAACAGGGTATTTCTGACCCAGAAGAAGTACTTGGAGAGGTTTGGCATGAAAGATGCTAAACCAGTTAGTACCCCTCTTGCTGCTCATTTTAAGTTATCAGTTGCTTAATCCCCGCAGTCAGAGGAAGAAGAGAGGTACATGGCACAGATTCCTTATTCCAGTGCAGTCGGCAGTATTATGTATGCAATGGTTTGTACACGTCTAGACGTTTCACAAGCAGTGAGCGTGGTAAGCCGGTATATGGCTTGCCCTGGTAAAGCACATTGGCAAGCTGTGAAATGGATTCTCAGATACTTGCGAGGTAGACTCAGATTATGCAGGTGATCTTGACGAAAGAAAATCACTGACATGCTATGTATTTTGCATTGGTGGTTGCGCTATTAGTTGGAAAGCTGCATTACAACATGTAGTAGCTTTATCTACTACCGAAGCAGAATATATGGCAGTGACCGAGGCAATCAAAGAAGCCTTATGGTTGAAGAGTCTATTTGTGGAACTCAGTTCACACCAAGGTGGTCTTACCATTTTCTGTGATAGTCAAAGTGCCATTCACTTGACTAAATATCAGATGTATCATGAGAGGACGAAGCACATTGATATTAAGTATCATTTCATCCGAGAAACCATTGCTGAAGGAAAAGTCTCTGTTCAGAAGATCCTAACACTAGAGACAATCCTGCTGACATGTTCACAAAACTTCTTCCAGTGTCCAAGTTCAAGCTTTGCCTGAACTTGATTGGCATTTATGAAGAATGATTTTGTCCATTGGGGTTTTTTTGCGAAGAAGGTGGAGCAAATTTACTATATATAAGCCGAAATTAGGCCAAGGTGGAGATTTGTAATATGACCATTAATTTGGCTTCTTCTCAAGTGGGGGCCAAATTTTCATGACATTTGCCATGACACAATATCCATTATAACAAATTTGTGGATCATGACATTTGCCATGACATAATATCCACTATTAGGCCAAGGATTTCTTGCTATAAGTAGAGTTGCTTCTCCTCATTTGTAAGCACACCAATTCAAGAGTTTTTCACTCTTGTCTTTCTTTCTCCTCCTTTATTTCATTATAGAGTATTTTGTAAGAGAGTGAGTGTTGGGAAATACTTGTGTGAACCCTTTATTTGGAGTGATCTTGTAAGGTTATTCTCTTGGGCTATTTGGGACTAATTACAGTATTTACTCTAATTTTGTACTCTCTTTTGTACTCTTGTTGGTATAGTGAAATTGCTCCTCTCCGCTTGTGGACGTAGGTCACCTTGACCGAACCACGTTAAATTTGTGTCTTCTTTATCTTCTTTAATTGCCGTTATTATCAACTTGCATTGTTTTTGTTATTGTCATTATAACATTGTTTGGCTAAATTCCGCACTACCCGATTTACCGATCCTAACACTTCATTTTCCTTGTCTGTTCATTTTCTTCTTCTTTGGCTTCTTCTATGTTTTAACTTTAAGAGCATTTTCTGTATTTTTCAGGTGTTGTAAGATGTGAAAATTTGGCAAGTTGTCACCTTTGATTCTGTCCACTCTTGGTCTTGTTAGATAGCATTCTGCATGGACAAAGGAATACGTTCTAGTCCAGCTACTGAAGATCCGTCACTTGCAACCGCTATGGAGCAGAAAATAAAGGCGTTGGATAGTGATTTGATTGTTTATGAGGTTTTTGTTCCTAATCCTGCAAGTTCCTCTGAATTTATATTAGGTCCATGCTTCAGGGATGGAGTTCCTTTAGAGCTTGTGCCATTTTATCCCTTGGAAAAGGAGAAAAGCTCCTTCTGCACTCTCTGGAACCCGGGTGGAACGAAGCCAGAACTTGGAAGTCATGGCCATATCCAATTAAAACGTGGATTAATTGGGTTGATCGACTTGAGAAGGAAAAAGGTGAGAAGTGGAGAAATGCTGGGATGTATGATGCCATTCAGCTTTCTAAAATTGATATACCCCTTGAGAAAAACCTTCTGTATGCTGCCTTGTGCTTTTGGTCAATCTCAAGTAACTCCTTCCACTTTAATTTTGGCATTATGGGTCCAACTGTATTGGATATTGTTGCTTTGACCGGGCTTAGACCTCATGGAGAGGATATTAGCGCAATCCTCTGCGCCCCTAAGTCAACCTTTACTTTACCGAAGGGCGAGAAGGGTAAAAGATTATCTTATGGGAAATTTCTTGAGCTCTCCATGAAAAAGGGCGATGTAACAGAGGATGAACATATCTCTTTCCTAATTATGTGGCTTTCCAAGTATGTTTTTTGCAATGGTTCAGGAAGGGTAACAAAAGAATGCAGCGAATTAGCCATTGCTCTTGCTGAGGGCAGGAAGCTTGCTTTTGCTCCTTTTGTATTGTCTCATCTGTATCGAGGCTGTAGAGATTTAGTTTTGAGAAGGTTTGGTTGTGCAGGCGGACCTTTCTGGATCCTACAGCTCTGGCTGCAATCTTATTTCCCTGAATATGGACCTTTGACATATGAGTCACAAAATTGTCCAACTTATGGTGTTTCCCTGGCTCAAGGCAAGTTAAAACACAAAAGTTTCCAGGAATGCTTTAAATTCTTTTATTCATGCTCCTCCTGAAGTCCCAGCCAGTTCACTCCATTTTCTTCTAGGACCCTTGGTCCCGAGTGGCTGAGATTGTCGCTGCATCATCGCTGCAGTAAGCAAGATCTAAGCGACATCTGGTCGAGTTACCTTATTGCTCGAGACCTCCATTACGGCCTTGTACTGGGCAACTCAATTATCTGCAAAGCTGGAGTGGAGTATTACTCTCCAAATCAGTTTGCACGACAGTTTGGCATGACGCAGGCAGTGCCTCTCCCTCCTTATCAGTCTGCCAATACTTCATCACTTGGTAGAATTGTTTTCCATTCAGCAAATTGTATCCAAGAAGTGGATTTAAAGTTTGTCCAATTGAAGAAAGAATTTTCAACTGTCCACTTTGATGCCAATCCAAAATGTACTCCATCCTTTGAGTCCTGGTGGTCGACTTACATAGGCAAAACTCGGACTGAATCAGCCGAGGAGATCCTTCGTAGGATTTGCCCATATTTACAATTAACTCCAATTACAATGCAAGAACAAAAGAATTTCCAGCCAGAGAATTCAGAATGCCATGCACAGATTGCTGGAGAGCTAGCAAGCAAAAAAAAGGAGGAATGAAGGTATGGTGAAAAAACGGAAAAAAATTAAAATTTTAGAAGTACCTGAAAATAAAAGAGAAGTTGTTAAAGCTGTTGTATGAATCTTTTGCCCTTTTTTAGTTCTCGTTGTCTGTAAAAGTTGTAACTGAGTTTTCCTTCCATTAGACCCTTAGAGATTATGGGCCTCTCTCTAAGAATGAGATCTAATATACGGTATATATCTAAATAGTCACACGGGGCTCACGGCAGTTCTTCTTAACATAGTTGTTTTTGCTTCCGGCCTTCATAAGAAATCAAGAGTTATTGAACATTTTGGAAGACTTTGGGTTTGCCAACATACTTTCCATGTCTCATTTTAATCTTTTTTACCATGTCAAACTAAAACATTAAATCTGTGATGGATAGAATGCTATTGTTTTTCAGCTTTTAGTTTTCATGGCAATGCATTTAGTTTCAGGAATGAACTCTTGACACACGTGTACAGAAGAAAGACATGAACTCCTGGTTGTCTTCTTTAATCTTCATTCCATGCTAAGTGTAATATGGCCAAATTTCCATGACATTTGCCGTGACATAATATCCATTATAACAAATTTGTGAATCATGACATTTACCATGACATAATATCCATTATTAGGTCAAGGATTTCTTGCTATAAATAGAGGAGTTTCTCCTCATTTGAAAACACACCAATTCAAGAGCTTTTCACTCTTGTCTTTCTTTCTCCTCCTTTATTTTATTATATAGTATTTTGTAAGAGAGTGAGTGTTGGGAAACACTTGTGTGGCCCCTTTCTTTGGAGTGATCTTGTGAGGTTATTCTCTTGGGGTATTTGGGATTAATTAGAGTATTTACTCTAATTTTGTACTCTCTTTTCTACTCTTGTTGGTATAGTGAAATTGCTCCTCTCCGCTTGTGGACTTAGGTCACCTTGACCGAACCACGTTAAATTTGTGTCTTTTCTATATTCTTTAATTGCCGTTATTATCAACTTCCATTGACTTTGTTATTGTCATTATACCGTTGTTTGGCTAAATTCCGCACTACCCGGGTTCCCAAATCTAACAAATTGGTATCAGAGACAGATCTAACCGGGTTGGTTTAAATAGCCAAAATGACTCTAACAAAGTCTTATGTTGAGAAATTTGACCGAAGTGCAAACTTCGGAATGTGGCAATTAAAGATGGAAGCTATCCTAATTCAGGATGGCTTAGATTTGGCACTGCAAGGAAATGAGAAGATGCCGGATAAAATGACGGACGGGGAGTTAGCCGTCATAGACAAAAAGCCAAAAGCAGGTATTATTTTAAATCTTTCAAATGAGGTTTTGCGTGAAGTTGCAGCAGAAAGCTCAGCCAAAGGCATATGGGAAAAGCTTAAAACCTTATATATGAAAAGAACAGTAGAAAACAAGCTTTACCTAAAGCAAAAACTCTACACTTTTCGTATGGCTGAAGGTACCTCTATACTTACTCATCTTGATACTTTTGATTCTCTTCTTATGGATTTAAGTAACATAGATACTGAAATCAAAGATGAGGATCAAGCTGTGTTATTGCTTGTTTCCTTACGCCAGTCGTTTAAACATATAAGAGATACTATGCTTTATGAAAAAGATAATATCTCTTATAAAGATATCAACTCTATTATGAAATCAAAAGAACAAATAAATAGAGATATTACTGGGAAAACTAGTGGGAACCAAGGAGAATGTTTATTCATAAGAGATAGATCCAATAAGAAAGATTCAAGTAGTGAGAAACCTACATCAAGGTCAAAATCCAGATACAGAAATGTCATGTGCAAATATTGTCATAAGAAAGGTCACATTATTTCTGAATGCTTTAAATTGAAAAACAAAGAAAAGCATACAGAAAAGAAAAATGAGCACAAAAATACTGACACTGCCGAAGCAAGTGTAGCTGCTGATGAGACTGAGGGAACTATTTTTTTAGCAACTAATAATAGTTTCAAATCTAACAATGAGTGAATTTTAGATTCGGGTTGTTCTTATCATATGTGTCCCAGTCGGGATTTATTTACCACATATGAATCTATTGGAGGTGGAGTTGTCTTGATGGGCAACAATGCTGCCTGCAAAGTTATTGGAAAAGGTACAGTCCGAATCAAAATGCACGATGGTGTGGTGAGAACTCTCACCGATGTTAGACATGTTCCTGACTTGAAGAAAAATCTTATCTCTTTGGGCACTCTAGAATCTCTTGGGTGCAAGTACACAGGTGAAGGTGGAGTTCTGAAAATTTCTCATGGTGCTCTTGTGGTCATGAGCACCATGATCTGGTACGTTGTATATTTTTTTGGGATCTACTGTTACAGGTGCTGCTGCAGTTTCAATATCAGATAAATCAGATTCTGACATTACCAAATTGTGGCATATGCGATTGGGGCATGTGAGTGAAAAAGGTCTTTCCATCCTCAGTAACAAAGGTCTCTTATGTGGCCAAAGTACCGGAAATATGGAGTTCTGTGAACATTGTGTGTTCGGGAAGCAGAAAAGAGTCAGCTTCGAATCTCCAGCGATTCATAGAACAAAAGGTACTTTGGATTACATTCATTCAGATCTTTGGGGTCCTTCACGTACCCCATCAAAAGGTGGTGCCAGGTATATGTTAACTTTTATTGATGATTATTCAAGGAAAGTTTGGGTTTATTTCCTAAAAAATAAAAGTAATATTTTCTTAAATTTCAAACAATGGAAAGTTTTGATTGAGAAGAAAACAGGAAAACAGGTTAAGCGGCTTAGAACAAATAATGGTTTGGAATTTTGTAATGATGAATTCAACGAATTTTGCAAGAATGAAGGAATTGCTCGACATCGTACTGTGAGAATGACACCTCAGCAAAATGGTGTGGCAGAAAGGATGAATATAACTGTTTTGGAAAGGGCTCGTTGCATGATTTCAAATGCTGGGTTGACAAACGCCTTTTGGGCAGAAGCTATCTCTACTACTTGTTATATTATCAACCGAGCTCCTTCTGCACCTTTGAACTTTAAGACTCCAGAGGAAATGTGGTAAGGTACTCCTGCTAATTATTCTGATTTAAAGATATTTGGTTGCCCTGCATACATGCATGTAAATGATGGAACCTGATCCCACGGCACTAAAATTTATAATTAGCAGAGATGTAACCTTTGATGAATCATCTATGTTACATTATAGAAAATAGTCTTCTAGTTCTTGTAATAAAGATAAAGGAAATAGTACACGAACCAGGTGGAGATTGAGATTGGCATTCCTTCTGAGCCAAGCTCATCAACTTTGGAGCAAAATACAGTTGAAACTCCTGAAGTTGAGACAGAAGCTGAAATTCCTGAAGTTGAGACTCCTGAAGTTGAACCAGAAGAAGAGGAGTATTCTATAGCCAAACATAGACCAAGAAGAGAAGGTAAACAACCATTAAGGTTTGGAGATTATGTTGCATTTGCTTTTTCAGTTGCACANGCCATTCACTTGACTAAAGATCAAATGTATCATGAGAGGACGAAGCACATTGATATAAAGTATCATTTCATCCGAGAAACCATTGCTGAAAGAAAAGTCTTTATTTAGAAGATCAACACTAGAGACAATCCTACTGACATGTTCACAAAACCTCTTTCAGTGTCCAAGTTCAAGCTTTGCCTGAACTTGATTGGCATTTATGAAGAATGATTTTGTCCATTGGGGTTTTTACGGAGAAGGTGGAGCAAATTTACTATATATAATCCGAAATTAGGCCAATGTGGAGATTTGTAATATGGCCAAATTTGACATTTGCCATGACATAATATCCATTAACAAATTTGTGAATCATGACATTTGCCATGACATAATATCTATTATTAGGCCATGGATTTCTTGCTATAAATAGAGGAGTTTCTCCTCATTTGAAAACACACTAATTCAAGAGCTTTTCACTCTTGTCTTTCTTTCTCCTCCTTTATTTCATTATAGAGTATTTTGTAAGAGAGTGAGTGTTGGGAAACACTTGTGTGAACCCTTTCTTTGAAGTGATCTTGTGAGGTTATTCTCTTGGGGTATTTGGGATTAATTAGAGTATTTACTCTAATTTTGTACTCTCTTTTCTACTCTTGTTGGTATAGTGAAATTGCTTCTCTCCGCTTGTGGACGTAGGTCACCTTGACCGAACCACGTTAAATTTGTGTCTTCTTTATATTCTTTAATTGCCGTTATTATCAACTTCCATTGTCTTTGTTATTGTCATTATACCGTTGTTTGGCTAAATTCCGCACTACCCGGGTTCCCAAATCTAACACTAAGCAAGCAGACCCACCCCCTTCTTTTCTGACCTTAAAATCCATCTTTCCATGGTGGTGGACTTGGGTTCCAGAAGGTAAAATGCTGCGCTGTGAACTTAATTTGAAGCATAAGACTCGTCTTCTTCACTTTAGCATACCACAATATTTCCAGTTGTATCTGGGACTAGAAAAACAAAAAGCTCTGTAGAAGAAGATGGTGGAAACTAAAATAGGCAACTCCCAATTCATAATTGTTACAGTGTAGCTGTATCTACCTCCGCTATCGTATATTTATACACTCTCTCAAGTGAAAGGGGATGGATGGCTTCTGTTTAATGTTCGCCATTGACACTTACTACGTATTGATTAAACCAGAAACGCAATGCACTACTCGTTAATCAATATATGACTCTGAAAGATTGACAAGTTCTGTAACTTGGATAGATCTGACAGCTTTCCTTCTCTAAAAGCAGCTTGTTAGCATTTCTTTAATTGTCTATAAATTTTTCCTCTTTTTAAGAGTATATTTCACAGCAAAAGAAATTGGAAAGACAGGAAAAAGACGAGACCCCTTCTAGGAAAGCAAAGAGGCAACTGTTCCTGGCTGTAAGTTATACCCAAAGAAGTTGGTTTTCTTTAACCCATTACAATTGCAACTTTTATGGGTCAATATCTTTTCTCCTTGTTTCAGGACTTCCCGGATTTCTTTGCACATAACACTCCGGAACCTGCTATTAACATCACCAAGCACACTCCTGCAGTCCATGGCTCAAATCACTTGGCAGAATCTGTCAATAGTCAGAAGTCTGTAACTGATGTTGTTGTGTTAGATGATATATCCTCGTCCACATCACCACTTTCATCTGATGAAGTAAGTTCACTTTCTTAGTCTTATCTCAAGCACTGCACAAGCGTATTTTATTTTATACAATAGTATGTATGTATGCATTTATATGAAGAAAGACTTCCCAGCATTAGATGCTAGGCTTGATAGAATGGAGGCTTGATAAAACATATATTTTCAAGGATGTATATGAATTTGACTTAAATATAGTAACAACAATGGCAGGCAAATGCTGTAATCGGTGTAAGTTGCCGAAGATGTTGCATTTCATTTCGTAACCTTTTAATAATAGTTGGAAGTAAAATGGTGAGGCCATCCCCAGTGGCGGAGCCACATGCATCAAAGGGGTGTAACGCCGGAAAATTATACTGTATAGCTCGATAATTTTAAAAATAATATGTATATATACTATATAATGACACCCTGACTTCTTGGTGAGTTTGTTTCATTATATTTTGACTCTCCTTAATGAAAATTCTGGCTCCGCTACTGGTCATCCCTAGTGTGGCTGATTCATTAGTCTATCTTTGAAGTTTATGCGTTCCTATGGCTGCCTCAAGCTAATACTACAATAATTATTGGGGTTCACAATCAGATAATTATTAATATTTAGTGGATTTCTTAATATAAACACAGGGTTTGAGAAAATGCTATTGGATTCGCATCCCATGACCAACACAGTCAATCTGCCCCTGCACTGAAGTTGAGGGATAATTTGAGTTACATGTCATAGTTATAGAAGGGGCAAAGGTTCAAATATGCCCTTGTACTATACGAAATTGAGCACATTTGCCCTTCGTTAATACTTTAGCTCAAATATGCCCTTACCGTCACGTAGTTGGTCCATATATGCCCTTAGAGTTATACAGTTGGCCCATATACGCCATTTTCGAAACGGAATCCACCCAAACTAATTAGATCTTTCGTTAATTGTATTAAAGTGTATTACAAACACTATTTCCTTTTTATTAGTACTTTTTTTTCTTTACCTTTCTCTTTTCTTTCTTCTTTTCTTCTCCTTTTTTTTTTCCTTTTTCTTTCTCCCTTATCCGATTTCCTCCATTACTGATGTCTTCTCCATTTTCGTTACCAATTTTACTTGACAAAACTCATGAATTCCAATTACTAAGAAAATTCTCCCATAAGGTAATCAAGTTCCAATTTCAATGGCCCTCTAAATAAACGAAATTAAATTATTCCAAAAATTATGGTTTAAACTTTAAAATAATAAAAACATCTCAACCTTTAGCAATACTCAAAAAAACCAAAATATTTAAATTGTTTTCAGAAAGATAATTTAATGATTAAAAGCCTAGAGTTCAAGTTGTAGTGTTATAAATTTGAGTTGTTAGTCTTTTTTCATCTTTTTTCAGCTGGACATTTTCTATTTTTTTTATTAACTATGTAAATTAGGGGTGTACATGGAACGGGTTGGTTCGGTTTTTATCAAAACCAAACCAAACCAATTATATCGGTTTGGATTGTTCGGTTTTGTTGGATTTTTCGGGTTTTTTGTTACATAAATATTATTTCAAGCTTACTTTGTTAAATTTTTTAGAACTAAATATATGTTCAGTAAAAATTAAAAAATTGACAAACATATGATCTATTAAAATATTCTTATGGGAGAATTTTCTTAGTAATTGGAATTCATGAGTTTTGTCAAGTGAAATTGGTGACAGAATTGGAGAAGACATCAGTAATGGAGGAAATCGGATAAGGGAGAAAGAAAAAGGAAAAAAAAAGAGAAGAAAAAAAAGAAAGAAAGAAAAGAGAAAGGTAAAGAAAAAAAAGTACTAATAAAAAGGAAATAGTGTTTGTAATATACTTTAATACAATTAACGAAAAATCTAATTAGTTTGGGTGTATTCCGTTTCGAAAAGGGCATATATGAGCCAATTGTGTAACTCTAAGGGCATATATGGACCAACTATGTGACGTTAAGGGTATATTTGAGCTAAAGTATTAACGAAGGGCAAATGTGCTCAATTTCGTACAGTACAAGGGCATATTTGGACCTTTCCCTTATAGAAGTAGAGGAAATTGATACATTTATGGACCAAAACATCTACTAATAGAGTAAATTTGAATTGTTTGTTAAATTGACTTTCTTAAACGTGTAAATAGGTTTTCAAATGACTTTTTCTTGTAGAAGTATGTGAGAAAATTTGAGATATCTCAAATTCAGATTAATCATCTAGTATAAGAAGGCTTTGATATGTGAAGTCAAAATTAAATTTAACTTAAAACTGAGGCATATAGAAGAGAAGTGGAGAAATGCAGGATCTTGGCATGAGTAATAAAATTGGATCTATTTTTAGTTAAAACAGGAGAATAAAAGTTTGATAGTAAATGAGTAGTTGAAGATCCACATAGGGTAAAGTAGAAAAGATAATCTAAGAAGATAAATTTGGAGAAAAAAGGAGCAAAATGGTCTGAGTACATGCAAAGGAGGCTTAAAGATCCACCTAACAAAATGGTGGCTGAGAATATCGCCATTTATGAAAATAGCAAAACAAAGGGGACACTAGGATGCTCATAACATAACAAGTAACATCGAATGATTTACGTTTACACGACTAATTTTTGTTAAACCTCTTGTACATTACTTTTATTCTTATGTGGGTAACTGTAACTCTTTTATGATAGTGTTCAATGTGGAATTATATCCACGAATTCCTAGTAACTCAAGTACAGGAAGAACTTAGAGTAGTGCTGATGAGGGAAGTGAGTACACTTGCTTCAAGTAAAAGGACTTCGTTTAAAAAAGAATCTTTCTTTTTCGCTATGGCGATGCACCTTTATCATTTTTGCAGAAAAGTAGGAGCAAAGCATCTGTTGGACGAAACTTAATTGCTGATCATTCCAAAATAAGTGATGCTGAGGACTTCTTTGCTCGGGTCGCAGCACAGCTCCAAGATGCTAAATCCCCGGGAATTGATGTCAAGTCACCTGCACTAAGAATGTCTCGATGCTCAGCCCAAGTACTTAACAAAACCAAAGCTGAAGTTCGGAAGCTACTTATGATGCCTTTGCACGACATAGTTCTCCCTGAAAACTCTTCAGTTTTAGTGGCTGCCCTTCCTAAATATGCTGCATCACCCAATCTCTCGGTTGAGAAAGTATGTGCTTTGGAGGAACTCGAAAAGAATCTCCCATCCTTATTCTCTGATTTTCATCAGGCGAAGAGGCAGCAGAAAGTGTATAGCAGTAAGGTTGCCAAGAAGGTAATCCTGATCGATGAACTTCTACGTGTTCCTTACACTATAGTTGCGGAATAATAAATGTAGAAAGTAAAAGACACAAATATTTTTGTGAAAAACACCTGGCTCAAAAGGTGAAAAAATCACTACCTACTACCCAGTAGGATTTTTCCCAACAATTCACTAAATCACTGAGCCAAAAACATCATTTACAAAACTCTTTGTAAACCTAAGGATTACCTCTAACCCTTTGGGGCAACTGGCCTCTAGCTGTTGCGACAACTGCAAGTTAACTCTAACTTGAATACTACACTCAAAGTACCTAGTACAATTGCTTCTCGATAAAACTGAAAGATACAACTCAAAAGTCCTACTACAATGAAACTAGAATAAAATACAGATACTTGGAACTGGTTCTTCTATTTGGTTCATGTAGTTTCATGTTCGCACACTTGAATCACACATTAATTGCTTGCAAAATGCCTTGTTATTTTGCTCTCAACTCTCGTTTAACTTCAGCATTTGTGCGTGCCTGTAAAATGAGAATATCCTGAAATATATAGAATTAGTTCTAGTTATCTTCAACTTCTAACTCCTCCTTTATCTAGGATAGAGTTATCTTTGAGTAATGAGTCCTTCTCCTTATCACTTATGCAACATTTTCGTTCAGGAGATATCCGATATAACCACACTCAAGCTTATCTCCTTCACGAGCATGCCTTGTGCTCGAATCTGCCTGTGTATGTGTACACTGTGTATGGACCTGGTTCATGCTTGAGTTCCTTTGTCAATCATCAAAACAAATTTCACTTAGGCCAACAATCAAATTTGATATGGATTTAACCCTTCGACAAGAGTAGAAAAGTGGTACATTAATCCTTACAATACATAGTGCAAAGGGGCAGCCCAATGCACAAGATATTCCGCCTTTATGCAGGATCCGAGGAAACGTTGCACCCCAAGAAATTAAACTTATACTATATACGTCGACAATGTTTAACATGTTAGGGGTCGTTTGGAGGGTGCATAAAAATAGTACCGAATATGGTGTATCAGTATGTTAGTTATGATGTGATTATTTCTTATCGACTATTTGGTTTGGTGTATTAAAATGTTTTGAAAGGGCAATTCTATCTTTATACATGCTTATCCATGTATTAAAAATTATGGTATTGCTAATGTCATGGTTTGCTATGTATAAAAATAATATGATGCTTAATTAAACTCTTCACCATTTCAAAAATCTTCGTCACACTATCTGTGTAACCATGGGGAGGGGGGGGGGCAGTTATGGGTTCGACCGAACCTAGTAGATTTAATCAAAACTCTATATTTGTCTTAAGAAATTCATTGAATATGTATAAATTATTAATTTAGAACCCAGTAACTTAATTAGAGTAGAATCTCGAACCCATAAACTTCAAATTTTGGCTTCGCCTCAACGTGTAACAATTACAAAACGATGAAATAATCTTGGCATTTGTATAAGGTCAAAACCGAGTTTGCCATTCGTATGACTAATCGAGATTGGAACGTGATAAACCATGGTTCAACTTTGTATAATATTGAGCCATGATGCGAAGTTAGGTTGCCGAGCTCGAGACCCAGGGACCGATCAAGATCGAGGTCAAGCAAAATAAAGACCAATCAAGGTTGTGATCGAGCAGAATAGAGACCAATCAAGATCTAGATCGAGCAAAATAGAGACCGATCGAGGTTGAGATCGGCCGAGATCGCTTATCGAGTCAAAAAATAGAAAGCCGGAATATTCGCAATTGGGCGGGAATCTCGGCGGATATCACGACGCATATCAAGGAAGGACCAATTAATTAATCTATCATGAGATTCCTTATGTATATTTAATTATATCCAAAATAGGACTTCCCAACTATATAAAGGGTTGTCTGATCATATGTAGAAAATAGATTCATTCAGATTCATATAATACAAAGCAATACACTGCTTTTTCTTCTGGTTTTGATATTCAGTTACCCTATTCTTGTATCAGTTACTCTCTATTCAGTTTGAGGGAGATTAAACTTGAGGGCCTAGGCTAATTAATTCATTCGGTTTGCATTCATTTCTTTAACAGTTAATTTCTGCAGGCGTATCGAGGTTGAGGAGGTCGTGGGAGCTATGCGTAAGATGAGTAGGGGCAGAGCGACCGGGCCAGATGAGATTTCGGTGAAATTTTGAAAGTGTGTGGGGAGAGCAGGTTTGGAGTGGTTGACTAGGTTGCTTAATATTATTTTTAAGGGGAAAAGGATGCCGGATGAGTGGAGGTAGAGTACGGTGGTTCCATTGTATAAGAACAAAGGTGATATCCAGAGTTGTAACAATTATAGGGGTATCAAATTACTGAGTCATACCATGAAAGTGTGGGAGAGGGTGGT